TTAAGAAAGTTATTAAAATTTCAAAAACTTTAACCACAGAGTGAATATTTGTGGACGCCGCCGCCGCCGCCGACGGAATGTAGGATCGCTATTTCGCACTTTTGCGATAAAAGTGGCAGGCTCGACAAAAAGTACGAAATATATCTATTTTTACATGCATACAATACAAATACAATGAAATATCTTATATGAAAACAGATTCATGTACATACATACAATGTACATATATAAATATATATACCGGTATATGATCCAATGCTCTTGCTATGAGAGTGATTAGTTATTCTGTTCATCAAGGGTATAATATGCTTAAGTGAACATTTTCCTATTTACCCATCCATGCACACACAACAAAAATTAGATGAGTAAAGTCCTACTCATAGTCATAGCTGATGAAAATGAAGAAATATTATAGTAATATTTATCAAGATGCAGGAGCCACCAAAGACGGGTGCTTAAAGGACTCTTAACCAAATAAAACATATACAATGTGCATTTTGAATAAGAAGATGTGGTATGAGACAACTCTCCATCCAAGTCACAATGTTTAAAAAGTTAACAATTATACATGTAGGTCAAAGTACGGCCTTCAACACGGAGCCTTGGCTCACACGGAACAGCAAGCTATAAAAGGCCCCAAAATGACTGGTGTAAAACAATTCAAACAGCTGGAAAACCAATGGTCTACTCTATATAAAAAACTTAGAAACGAGAAACACAAATGAACCACACCAACAAACGACAACCACTTAAACAACAGGCACATGCATGTAAATATATGGTGTGGCTTCTTTTAATTGATGGAGGAAGGCAGAGTGCATGGTAGAATCTCTGTTCATCATTAAGTCTGTTATCAATGCAAATGCATTATTTATAGAAGAAAAGTTGAAAATCTAAAACATGACTGACCTCATACAGTGAATCTCAAGTTTCAAGTATTATTTAAATAACATATATGCTACTGAATGAAGCCACTCCTTTCATGTTCATGATCAGTAAGTTTGCTTTTAAAGTCAATAATAAAAAAGGCTTTCATGTAACACAAGAAATTTTACTATTGGCTTACCCTTTGATTTATTTGTGTTCATTGTAAACAATCATATAAGAAAAACAAACTATATTGGGTATCAATCCATGACAAAAAAATCAGTACATGCACAGCAAAAAACACACAAAAAGCAAAGAAACAACGCTTTTATTGCTGTTCTTCATCTCAATGTCACAGTGAGACATGTTGGTATAATTGTTCTATTTAATCATAAATATTTTTTAATTATTAATTGCAGTATGGTATCACATTGTACAGTTATTAAGTTTGTTAGGATGGTGTGGAATGGTCCTGTCTTTGATAATGATGTTTAAACATTTTACTGTTATAGACAAATATAATATTAGGAGGCAGCAAGCTATAGCAGTTGTTTGTATTTTATCAGGTTAGTATCTAATCATTACAGAAGTTAGATACTTATCTCTATATATTTGTACAGTACATGAACTTTATTTATCATTGTCATTAAAATTTTAAATCTGAATTGATCATGTAACAGATGACATGCTTTTCAGGTTTCACTTATACTAATGTTTTATGGCAAGATGGCTTATTTCGTTTTGATCTGCTTCGGCAATTAAGCCCTCTTTCAAAATCCTGCGTCAGCCCCTGATGTCTATTATCATTTAATATGGTTTCATTGTTTCATTCAATCTTGAGATGTTTCATGGCAATATTACATGTTTTATTTTAGGTTTTACTATATCACTGACACCTATGTTTCAGGTTTCACTATATCACAGCTGCTGCTAATGATGTTTGGTGGGAAGATGGACATGTCTTTAAGTTTTTATTATATCACTGACACTTGTCTTTCAGGTTTCACTATATCACTGCTGCTAATGATATTTGATGAGAAGATGGACATGTCATTTAGGTTGTACTATATCACTGATACTTGTCTTTCAGGGTTCACTACAATACTGCTGCTAATAATGTTTGGTGGGAGGATGGATGAGTCTTTTAGGTTTTACTATATCACTGACACTTGTCTTTCAGGTTTCACTATATCACTGCTGCTAATGAAGTTTGGTGGGAAGACAGACATGTCTTTTAGGTTTTACTATATCACTGACACTTGTCTTTCAGGTTTCACTATATCACTGCTGCTAATGATGTTTGATGGGAAGATGACATGATCCTTATGTTTTACTATGTGTACTTAATTGACACTTGTCTTTCAGATTTGACAATATCACTGCTGCTGATGATGTTTGGTGGGAAGATGACATGACCTTTAGGTTTAACTATGTGTACTTAACTGTCTTTTAGGTTTCTTTATACAATTGCTGATGATGATGTTTGGTTGGAAGATGGACATGTTTTCTAGAATTTACCGTATCACTGATTCCAGGTTTCACTGTCGCTAATGATGTTTGGTAGGAAGAGGACAAGTCTTTTAGGTTTTACTATATCACTTGTCTTTCAGGTTTCATTATATCACTGCTGCTTATGATGTTTTGTGGGAAGATGACATGACTATTAAGTTTTACAAGATGTACTTAACTGATACTTGTCTTTCAGGTTTCACTTTATCAGTGCTGCAACTGCTGCTAATGATTTTTGGTGTGAAGATGACATGACCTTTAAGTTTTACAACATGTTCTTAACTGACACTTGTCTTTCAGGTTTCACTATATCACTTCTACTTATGATGTTTTATGGGAAGCTTGATGAATCTAGTCCAGCAGAAGTTCCAAAAATACACTGGTCTGCCATCTTAGCAGGAGTAGCAGGTTTGCTTCAGTTTATTAATGGACTGCTTCTTGTACAGTGAATGTGTGGATGTGATGTTTATCGGACATCAAAATCAACTTAGAGTGGATAGATTTCAAGATCATTTATTGTTAAAACCAAGATCTTATTTGGTGATACTGAATATATACATTTACCATACGAACTTTGAACTTAAATTTAATAGCTAGTCAATTGTTGGTGCCATTTCAATTTGAAACACTGTCTATCCACAATGAGCTTACAAATCTGACAATAACATTGAGAAAATGTGTACTGGTACATGTATGTTAAATCGTTTTTATTTATGATATCATTTTGACTATTTAACAGAATTAAATTCTTTTTTTCATTAGATTGACCGTTAAACGTTATATAAAGCTGTTACTTACATTATGACAAATAGTACTAGTGAGTTTGACCCTTTTAATGTCAAAAGATTGGCTTGTCCACATTGAATTTGCTAGCTCTATTTTGGACAGACAGTATCAGTACTAATTATTGTACTACTTGTTACTATTATCTTGTAAGAATTATATACTGATTTCTTTTGCATTTAATTATTATTAAATTTTAATGAAAAATAGCTTTTGTTTTTATGCTTTCACTATTCATCTTTGTTCCAATCTAAGTGATTGTTTAAAAAAAAAGTGGCTATTAAGAGCCTGTGTCACTCACCTAGGTCTATATGCATCTTCAACAATGTACACTCTTCAACGTTGTCGACTAGAATATAACTCCTTATTAAAATCTCTTTTTTGTTTATCTTGTATTGCTGATGATTTTTTTCTGTTTAAAATTTCACTCTATCTTCTATAGTTTTTGCACAAACAAAGTTAGGGTTAAAAAAACTATTTACAATTCTTGTCACTTTGATCTTTTTGCTTTTTAAATTTCTATCTATCATAGTTTTAAGATAATAGGCAAAAATGCAGAAAATTGTCTTTAACATGTTTAAGTGATAATAACTCCAATTAGGTGTCACCTGACGATTTTGGCCATGTTGACTTATTTGTAATCTTGTCTTGCTGATCATTTTTGCTATCTATTATAGTTTTCAAGCAAAAAACATATTTGATAAAGGGCAATTTCCAATAGATCAAGGACCATAACTCCTGAATGGAAGAAGTGAAAATCTTCAATATTAAACTCGACTCATTTTTTGTAATCAGTAACAACATATTATAATTTGAATACCATTGGTAGAAGGGTTCATAAGTTATTGCACAGAAATGACATAAAGTGTCATTTTCCAATATATCAAGGACCGTAACTCCTCAACATTATAAGTGAAAATCATCAATATCGAACTTGGCTCCCATTTTGTAATCAGTAACAACATATTATAATTTGAAAAGTTTTCATTGAACATTTCACAAATTATTGCACAGAAACTGTTGGCAGCTGCCCGTCTGACGTTCTTCTCCAATTTAACAAGCAATCTGTGAGTATTGCCTGGCAATACATAGTCCCCTACCAGTTAAAAATTCATTGTACGGGAAAAAAATGCTAACTTGATCTATAACTTGCCATGGTGTAAACTATATAACAAATATCAAGTCAATACAAGCATGACAAAAAAAAATGTGGAAAATTGATTGAGTGACTCTGCACAAAATCATTAGACCGGAACAAAATTCAAATTTAATCTGTAACTTGTCATGATAAAACTATATACCAATCATCAAATCAATATCTTCAAGCATTAAGAAAAAAGTGTGGAAAACAGATTTGCCGGACTGACGGATGGACAGACAGACAGACAGAGTGCAAACCTAAAGTCCCCTTCGACTTCGTGGGTAGGGGACTAATAACTGGATTTTTCCAGTACAAAAGCAGATGCTGCACATCAAGTAATACACAGTCCACACTGGGGTCTATATTTGTAGACAAATAAAATTAAAGGGCAATAAATGTGGTCCTGGATCATGACTATTAAACAAAACAATTATAATTTAAATTTTATTCTGATTTCTTGAATATTCACACAGGACTTTCTATACTAATAGTATAGAAAGTCCCTGATTCACATAACAGATACATGATCATAATTATTTTATTGAGCAATGAATAATCAATCAACCAAATTAATCACTTTTTCTACCTCTGAATTTATACTATGTTACTAAGTAATCATGTCAATGATATAATTGGCCCATTCTAAATAGTCATTGAATTATCTGTTACATCATAAATGTTTTTTTGTTTTTCTTAAATGATGACATTTCTCAATAAATCAATTAACAGTATGACTGGTAATGGTCCTTTGATCAGCCTTATTTGAAATCAAAAATTCATTTTGCAGTTAATTTATAATACAAATACAATGTAAACATACAGGATTATTTCAATAAATAGATACATTTGTATAGTCTGAACACAGAAAAATTATGAAGTACAAAAATAATTCAAGGTAACTGTTATAATTAAAATTCTCATTAAGAATAAAATGATTTACAAGTCATTCACCTGAAATTCCTCGAAGGAAGAAAATACATTTTTACTTCTCATGACATGGAAGAAAACCAAAATATATACATATTAATTATTTATTTACTACAGATAAGTTTTCCACACAAAAAAAAAAACAATTTCTTTTTTTAATATTTCATAATATTGCATATCTGATAAAATATTGTTTTGAGAACTTATAAATCAGGGGAGATAACTTACCATATTACCTGCAATAATTTAAACAGATGTGATTTTTTTTGTACCAGAGAATTAGAATTAAAATATAACTTAGGACCAGTTTCCTTATAGATAATAAAATCATACTAATACATGCCAAGTATTTAAAACTTCTTTTGAGCAAACATTTACACATGAACAGTATGTTTTCAATTTTCCTCTCTTTCAGATTAATTTCCTCAATCTTCCAATATGATTTCCCAAAAGAGATGCTTTTTGGTCTTGGTTTTGAATATAACTCCATCATTTTTTTTAACCACTTCTTTGTGAACTTAACACCTTCTTTTCTTTACGAATGACCACCTTGTTTAAATTGGGATGTAATTCTCTCACAGATTGATATAAAATATGCATATTTATGTTTACATATATTGGTAATTAATTGCTTGTGTTTGCTTAACATCTAGGAGCAAATATTTTATGCACATTTAGGACAAAAACAAAATAACAATAAATCATTTATATAGGTTTTGCAAATTTCGTCAACAGGGATGAAGTGAGTTTTTCAATTGCATGAAATGTAAAACTATATAGTTTTATAGTCCAAAACTATAATTTGGACTGCCACTGGCAAAAGAGGATATGTATAATAGTGTCTGAATACAACTGTATTTGTGAATAGGACTACTGGTTTCCTTCAAACTAGCTCAGCTACCCTTTAAATATTGTGTTTATCCACATGCCATTTCCAATGTAATTATAAGGTAATAAAGTTATATTTGAATAACTTGTTAAAGAGTTATCTCCCTTATTTTAAATTTATACATTAAATTAGCAACCAAAAATATGAAAAGTTGTTTATATTTGGTATATTCATGAATTCTAATTTAAAATGGAAATAAATTTAATACTGACCCCTTCCCTTACAAAACCTGTTTTATCTAATTACTTCAAAGTTTTGGATTCTGTTTAAATATCATGTTAAAGAGAAAAGAAGAACCTTTAGTGTAAATTAAAAAATGGAATGTATGTGTGCTACCAACAATATGGTTAACAAGAATGTGTCCATAGTACACGGATGCCCCACTCGCACTATCATTTTCTATGTTCAGTGGACTGTGAAATTGGGGTCAAAACTCTAATTTGGTATTAAAATTAGAAAGATCATATCATAAGGAACATGTGTACTAAGTTTCAAGTTGATTGGACTTCAACTTCATCAAAAACTACCTTGAACAAAAACATTAACCTGAAGCGGAACAGATGGACGGATGGACAAACCAGAAAAAATAATGCCCCTCCTACTATCGTAGGTGGGACAAAAAATTATTCAAAATGAACAATGAAAATATCAAAAGGTGATTTAAATTGGATTTCTGTAAGCAATATACAATACAATTATGATACATTGTATGATTAAGAAGTCTGTGTGATATGGCCATGTTCTGATCTGTATCTCTCACTTCCTGGAGTGAAACTCTGCATAATGGCAGCAAGCTGATGTTGCATCTGTTAGAATCATATCTTGGATTTACGACTAGGTCCTGCAATGGGTTTATCCCTTTCATCCCAGACTGGTACCCCATCACATGCACAAATTCTTTTGGTATTCTGGAACAACCCTGCTGATCTAGCTACTATCCCACATAATAACCTACAATAACATTTGTATAACCTGTTAAAAATTATATCTACAAAACATCATATATTACTAACAATATTGTCACACAATATGGAAAATTAGATTTTATGAAATTACTTCTTCAGAAATGAACTAAAGGAGATGTAGGGTTATATAAATATACATCAATTCATCGTTTTAGAATCAAAAAGACTATGGGTAATTTCCCTGTTCGTAACCAAAAAATGAAAATAACTTCACTTCATTAGTTGAATATCTATTGATTAGGATGCTTTTGAAAAAATTATGAAGAATGCCTGAAGATTCTGAAATGGTAAATTAGACTAAGAGAGCTAGGCAACAAGAAAAAAACAATATCATAACAAATATAAGATCATCTTACAGTCTTCAACAATGGATACCTGTCTCAACAATGAGTAAACAAAGATCTGCCATAACACAATATTCCCTAAAGGAATAGATTTCACACAGCAACATCATAAACAGAGAAGGAAGACATAATCTTCCACAACACCAAAATAAATCGGTACAGAATTTCAAACAGAAAAAGCGAAAGAAACATTTAAGCCTCTTTTCTAGCTATAAATAAAATAAGCAAACTGATATTCATCATAAAAAAAATTACTGCTAATACTTAAAATCCTGCAATTGAAACATACATATTGCCTGTAGAAAGTGTACGATCATATTCTACATGAGATTTACAAAAGATATCCAAAACTTTCCAAATTTTTTCCATCCTATCATACCTTTGGTCTGTAGACAGTATCTGATTATAAGTGCGTTATGAGATTTACCCAAGACATCCAAAATTCACAACAACCCTTCTACTCTTTCTTACTTATTGCCTGTAATTTGTGTTTGGTCATGTTATATATATGTTGTGTACATGTTATAATTTTGTACACGTTATTACTTGCACAAACATTTTGTACAAGTAATTACAGGTATGATGCCATCATACAAGTTATTGCTTGTACAAATACAACTGTACAAGTAATTACTTGTATAATTTTTATTGAGAAAAAGATAATAACTTGTACTAATCATTACTCCTCCTTGGCTATTTGATGTTCACAACAAATCAGTACATTGACCTGGTAGATCTAATGAACCTGTCAGTGATATTTACCTACTCATGCTAAGCCTATAAAATCCAAACAGTTTGACAGTAGTGATAATGGTTGCACAGTAGTATTTCCTGGCCCATAGGGATAATGGCAGCTTTTTTAGAATTTTCACCATTTTCTAATACTGACCGAAATTTTGCATTACAGTTAACTGAAGTTATTTTTTTTGCTATTTTTAGAAACCTGTTTTTTTGTCTTTTATCATGCAGTGAATACAAAATTTCAAAAAATCCTCAAAAATGCTTTTTCACCTGTATGTAAAATTATTTCATATTTTCCTACACCTGATTCATCCCTCAGGAAAGTATGTTCAGAAGATACCGTATTTTTTGTCTAATCACACTGTTCAGATACATTGACTTAAGTACACAAAAGAGCAACCTAAAATCCAGAATGTAAATACTACCGTGCCACCTTATTGACACATTCTTTACCTCAACTTTATTTTTATTTATCTGGATAATATTTTTAAGTTTGATTTTATGTCCGTAATGTTTTCCTTTTATTGTAGAATAAATCTTTTTTGTCGTATTTTTTTAAAAAATTCCATTAGTTCATTCAATCAGAGTAAAGATTTGTGACACCATGCATGCCCTTACTAAAGTGAAGCGTCCTTTATGAATGGGTCACAAACCGAATTTATACTGACTGCGTCAGAAAAAAAGAAAACAAAACAAACACAATATAAATTTCAAAAATGCATACGTTGAATGATGTCTACTAAGCAAAAATAAACAAACAAATAAATAAGAAAAAATAGTAAAAGAAAAAAATTAACCAACAAAATTAATGACAAAACCAAAATAACAAACCCAAAGAAACGAATTTTTGAATAAAACATTAAAAAAACAGGAGGAAGAAACAAACATAACTCATGTCAAAGATAGTGAGTTGTACAAGTTATTATCTTTTTCTCAACAAAATTTGTACTAGTAAATATGTGTACAATTATATTTGTACAAGTAATAACTTGTATGATGGCATCATACAAGTAATTACTCATACAAAGTTTTTGTACAAGTAATAACTTGTACAAAATAATAACATGTACACGACATATATACCAGTAGTTTACTTATAATTCCCAAACTTACTGATAAATATGTGTGCTATCTCATGCTTTCCATTGCCTGTAGACTTGTGAATGATCATAGAACACACATGATCTGCCATTAAATTTCCAATACTTCTAAAAGTCTTTCTGTCCAATCTTACCTATTGTCTATAGAACGTGTATATCGGTAATCATGAAAAATCTACCAATTATTTCCCATACTTTACAAGAGTCTTCAATTGCATCCTACCTATTGTCTGTGGACAGTGTATAATCATGTAAGACACAAAGATCTACTAATTTTTTCCCATCTTTACAAGTCTATTATCCAATATTACATATTGTCTTAATAGGCGTGTGTGGTCATGTAACACAATATCTACCGGTACCCATGATTTCCCATACTTTACAAAAGTCTTTTTTGATTCTTACATATTTTCTTAAGACATGTATGGTCATGTAACACATAATCTAACAATGATATACTAAACTTTACAATAACCTCTCTACTTGCCTCAATGACACATTTGTTCTATACAATCATACATATTGTCTGTAGGCTCTACCAATGATCTCTCATGTCCAATCTTACCTATTGTCTGCAGACTGTACTTAGTCATGTAACACACAAGATCTAACAATGATATCTCAATATTTACAAATATCTTTCTGTCTAACCTTACATCTTGTCTTTTGACTGTGCCTGGTCATGCGACACACAAGATCTAACAATGATATCTCAAACTTTACAAAAGTCTTTCTATCCAATCTTACCTATTGTCTTTTGACTGTGCCTGGTCATGTAACACACAAGATCTACCAATGATATCCCATACTTTAAAATTATTATTAGTCACTCTGAATTCTGCCCTACCAGCTGTAGAAGTGATTTCACCAATCTCTCCAACAGGCTACAACAAAACTACATTAATAATTAAACACATTTGAAACATAATAAAGGCTGTTCCCATTTGTCTTTTCTAAAACTTTGTGTGAAATGGTTCATATTATATACACTCAATATTTCTTCTGAATCTTTATACCTTAAACAAAAAATAAACACATTATGTATCAATATAGCCTCAATTTTCTATTGATCGTATTAAAGCAATAATTATTTTTTCTAAATAAATGTAAATTCACTACTGTTTTGCTTTCTATCATAGTCAATTCCCGTATTTTTCTCTAATAAATATCTTTCCTGACCTTATGTTTAATTTTAAATAATCAGCATATGGATTGCTGACTTGAACTCTGGTAAATAATTATCTCATTGGCTTTCTTACCACATCTCCTTATTTTTATATGAATTGCTTGCTATCTGTCATATTTGGTTTTGTTTCTTGTTTAAGAATAAATTAGAACATTGGTTTTCTTGTTTGACATTGCTTCATATTTTGTCATGTCGGAGCCTTTTATATCTTATTATACGGTATTATAGGTTTTGCTCATTGTTGAAGGATATATGGTGACCAATAGGATGCTTACATAGAGAAGTCATTTTGTCTTAAGTGGAGAGTTGGTCTTATAGGCATTCATACCACATTTCCTAATTTTAATATGAATGGCTTAATTGGTTTGAATACTTACAGTTGGTAAATAAGAGGGTGGTAAAGTGTTTTGCCATTTTTTTTCACATGCAGCCGTGAAAAAGGTTCGTTATTCACCGTGTTTCGTCAAATCAGTAAAAAGATCAACGTGCAAGAAATTTTTGATTGTTCGTTCATCGTGAAATGGCAATTTTATTTCATGTTCTTCCGTGCAGATACCCCCCTTTACGCCCCTCAAATAAATATATTTTATACATATTTTTACAAATTGCCAAAAATAAGGTAAAGAACAGTGTCCTAGGAGATATTTTCTATGATAGACAAACTTGGTAAAAAAAAAATTACCATCAAAGGGTCAAAATTTACTGTTCTAAAACATTTGTACATACCTTGTTTAAAGATTTTCCAAGAATGTCACCACAACTAAAACAATAAATAACTATAACTTTAATTTATCAATTACAAAAATACCTGATTTTATACAATACAATTGAAACTGTATTCATGAAAACCCCCCCGCCTCTTACAGATCCATATTGAAATAAATGGGGAATGTGTCCATGGGACACAGATGATGCCCCCGATGCATATAACGTTATAAAGGGACATAACTCAAGAACTGTAAAAGTGACACTACCCAAATTTGTACTTGATCTGAGTTTTGTGGTAATAAGCATTGTGTATACGTTTCATAACATTTAGTTGAGGCAAACTTAAGTTAGAGAACAAAAACGAAAACTTCAGTAGTTTTTCCACTTGTAAAGGGGCATAACTCCAGAACCATAAAAGTGACGCCACCAAAATTCGAACTTGATCTGTGGTTTGTTGTAATTAGAATTGTGCATAAGTTTCATAATATTTGGTTGAGGCAAACTAAAGATAGAGAACAGAAACAAAAAATTCATCAATTTTTCCACTTGTAAAGGGGCATAACTCCAGAACGGTAAAAGTGATGCCACCAAAATTCAAACTTGATCTGTGTTTTGTGCATAAGTTTCATAATATTTGGTTGAGGCAAACTAAACATAGAGAACAGAAACGAATATTTCAGCAACTTTTCCATTTGTAAAGGGGCACAACTCGAGAACGGTAAAAGTGACGCCACCAAAATTCAAACTTGATCTGTGTTTTGTGGTAATAAGCATTGTGTATAAGTTTCATAACATTTGGTTGAGGCAAACTAAAGTTAGAGAATGGAAACGAAAAATTCAGCAATTTTTCCATTTGTACAGGGCATAACTCTAGAACGGTAAAAGTGACGCCATCAAAATTCAAATTTGATCTGTGTTTTGTGGAAATGAGCATCGTGTATAAATTTCATAACATTTGGTAGAGGCAAACTAAAGTTAGAGAACGGAACAAAAAATTCAGCAATTTTTCCATTTGTAAAGGGGCATAACTCTAGAACAGTAAAAGTGACGCCACCAAAATTCAAACTTGATCTGTGTTTGTGGTAATAAGCATTGTGTTTAAGTTTCATAACATTAGGTTGAGGCAATCTAAAGTTAGAGAACGGAAACCAATTTTGGGACGTACAGACAGACAAGGGTAAAACTTAATGCCCCCTCTGCTACAGCGGGGGCATAAAAATTTTCTAAAGCTTAATATAAACAAGAGAAAAGAATATTAACCACATTTAAGACAGCAATTAAATAACTTAAAATTACAGTGAAGTGCAGTACATGTATTTTTGTTCATCCATTGACTGGATTTCTAATTTCCAGTCAGCTTCACATAATAACCAAATTGTTACAGAGAAGTAAATTTGAACAATTTATACAAAATTCTCAGAAATGGTCCTGAATATGTGTAACTGTCATTTGTACCATGTTTGCCATGTGTTCTGATTCTTGATTGTAAATATATTAGTGTAAATTACATTTATAATTTGTTGTGATGTTGTACTTATTTTGATTGTCTGTTGTTTACACCGTATCGTTTCTTTGGTCAGTGTAAGTCTGTTATGTAATAGAGAAAGGTGTGTTAACACCTGAGTAATCATCCAACAAAACTGATACCTCCTTGCAAAATTCTTTGACCTGACAATTAAAACCAGCCTGATTAAGTTTCTGCCCTATATTCCAACTTTATTCTTAAATATGTGTCAATGAACAAAATCCTCAAAGTCACACATAATGAGTTCCTAGTATTTTAAATAATAATTTTATTACCCCTGAATTCTTTCAGAACTCACCATTTGAACTCATGATATGTAAAATTAAGGATTAAGTGCTCATATCAACATTATTATCAACCTAATTCAAAGTCCTGTTATATCCTATTGTAAATAAACTCCTGGGAAAATATTGTGTAGCAATGCCAGTGGTATCCATGTTTGAATGAAACATAAATCATAAGTGAAATAAAATTTTTATTTTATATATATTCATCACTAATTTGGCCCTTGGGGAATCTACTCAGCTAAAAAAAATTAATTTTTTTGCTCCATGCCTAAACCAAGAGACTATGTGCATACTGAAAAGTAGCAAAGTATAGACCCCTGGCTTGACATCACACCAATCCAATTGGAATGATGGTTCCAAATAAATGTGTGAGGCTATGAGGAAGCCTATGAGGCATCATGCCTATGAGACTATGAGGAAGCCTATAATGAGGCGATGAGGAAGCCTATAACGAGGCTATGAGGAAGCCAAGTAGTGTTGATGTTGAATTGGTGTTGGAATGAATTTGTATGAAATTTGACAGTTTATCTTGGGGGATGAGTGAATTTTTTGAAAAAAAACAGTGATATAATGTCATTAATGAAATCAATAAAATCTGTTATAAACTGTGCTGAGATTGATTTCCCTGTCATGGCAATATTGAAGGTGTAAGGAGGGGGTTGGTGGGTGGCAAGTTTTTTAGCTAATACACTATTAGAGCAAAAATTAGTCTTATTACTGCTAAATCTGCATTGAAATAACTGGATACTCAAGACAGCATACACTGGTTTTTAATACACAACTTCTTAATGGGATGCTCCTTAATGGGAGGAGTTAAACTGCACCCAGGTTTATGTACAAACAAACAAAGGACAAAGGAAGCCAAATGCCACAAGTGGTCACTAATTATCAAGACATGTATATTTGTATTGGAACTGATGTAATTAAACCTCCTGCTAAGAACATGTGATAAACTTCACATCTAGCTGATTGAGATATGATAATAAATCTGTGTCATCTCAATAGTAAAGATAACATATATCCTGGCCCAAGACCACAATTAATGACCCCGCTTTTCGTTGTCCACGAATATAGTTCCTTTTAATTAGAGTGTATTTTTTCTTAATTTGTTTTCTTTCCCTTCCTCACTCATTTCTTAGTTTTTTTGGGTGGAAATGAAAGAAGAGAGGTGAAATAAACTTTTGGATGTTGTTTTTTAACTGATTTTGATATGGAAAGAGTGAGTAGGCCAGGTGCAAAAAGGTGATATTTACAGTTTTCGGAACATCTCTTGACTTGTCCATAGGGGTATGGATGTGTATTGGCTAAATTTGTAGGAGTGATTGGTTCAATCTTTCTGAATTTTGGATATATTTTTGGACTAGTACTATACATTACACACACAAAAGATTTGACAAAAATGCATGGTGCAATTTTTTTAATGAAACAAAACGTTATAAAGAACTAATAGAGGAATTTAATTGTGGTCTGTGGCCTAGGAGGTGAATTCAGAAAATATTGAATTTGTATTTTGACAACTTCCCTGAATGATCTATTGGTATTAATTTGTCAAACTACATGAGAATAAATGATGTCCACTTTTATTTGATAGAAATTTTGTAAAAAAGTGACATTTCAGCCTACATGCCCAAAATTGAACTTTTTCAGTTGTTTCAATATTTTTACAAAAGTAGCATGTTTACTTTCTCTCTGACAGATTTTTCAGGTTTTCTATTTGTGTTTGTGGTATCTAATGTAGATGTTTAACTCATTTTTGAACACTGAACATAAAAAAAAAGTAGATAAAATCAGAATAAGAGTGCAAAATGTGTTGCTTTAATGGTCTTAGTCTAACGGTCAGTATGAAGCAAGTGAAAAATGAGGTTCTATGCACATACAAGTTCAATTCCTTTTAGTAGATTTCCCTGAATCTGTATCAAAAGCACTTATTACTGGTTGTTTGGCCTTGTCTGTTTCACAGAGTACCTTTGTTTTCTTTTGTTTGATAACTAGTGGTTAAAATATTGGCCTTTTGAGGCTGAAATTTCATGCCGGTTTTAAAAAGTACAGTAAATAACTTTGCATCAGACCAAACTGTCTACATTTATAGTTGGAAGTGACAGTCTTGTTACATCCAGGTTCCATGTTTTATCATATCTAAGCAAAGATTTGAGCAAAAAGAAGCATTATATCTCCATCTCCTATATTATTATATAATTTTTAATATGCAAATGTGGGGAACGGCCTAAATTGATAACCTGTGTTTTAAGCTTGACATTGCAGAAGACTATTTTATCCACATGTGTTCTGATATTTGAAACTTATATTTCCATTTAAAGTACATTTATAACATGTAAAAGGTTTTCTTATAACTTAACAACTTCAGAAAATTGTGGTAAGTAAAAAATATTACATTTCATATAAGGCCTCACTTCATTTGAAAACCTCTATTTTTTGGCACATGCTCATATAAAATTAACTTCTGGCCATTTTTTATAAGTCTGATACATGAAGTATGCGGTCTGTTGCTTTTAATAGGTGATAACTTATACATAGAGACATTAAAAAGTGCAAGTTTTGGTATCTTTTGGTTTTTAGAAGCCCAAATTTGATAGTTGAAATTGTTCTAATTCAACGCCACAATTCAGCACCCAAAGTTCTGATATAAAAAATGCCACATTTTTTATAATTGGTATCATATGGCTTTGAAACTTTGTAAACTGTTTTATAATACACTAAGCTTAAATCATGCCAAGTTTTATTAGAATTGGTCAAGTTTTAGACCCCTAATAGGCCCAAGACCACAATTAATGACCCCGCTTTTCGTTGTCCACGAATATAGTTCCTTTTAATTAGAGTGTATTTTTTCTTAATTTGTTTTCTTTCCTTCCTCACTCATTTCTTAGTTTTTTTTTGGTGGAAATGAAAGAAGAGAGGTGAAATAAACTTTTGGATGTTGTATTTTAACTGATTTTGATATGGAAAGAGTGAGTAGGCCAGGTGCAAAAAGGTGATATTTACAGTTTTCGGAACATCTCTTGACTTGTCCATAGGGGTATGGATGTGTATTGGCTAAATTTGTAAGAGTGATTGGTTCAATCTTTCTGAATTTTGGATATATTTTTGGACTAGTACTATACATTTCACACACAAAAGATCTGACAAAAATGCATGGTGCAATTTTTTTAATGAAACAAAACGTTATAAAGAACTAATAGAGGAATTTAATTGTAGTCTGTGGCCTCCTGGGAAAATCCTAAAATAATGACTACTGAGTGTAATGAAAATCAAACTATGTATAAACATTACTTATATAACATACATGTGCCTATATAATGAAATATCAATTTAAATGTTATTAATACACTATCATGGATTCCTGACAGTTGAAGCAAATAAAAGAATGCACAAAATGTAGAATAACATTTAAAGATTTAAAGATTGTGAATGTTCATTAATTTATGTTAAATGTACTGTCTGAAAAAAATACATTACAATGTATGCCCTCATGGACAATGTTATACCACATGTGTAGTGGAGTATAACAAGACATATTTGCTTTTTATGGTTGAATTGAATTATAATTACCCATATTTATGGCTTCAAAATACATATTCAATAATTTTACACTTTTGAGTTTCATAAAGGCCTAAGATACTCTAAATTAGACATTCAGCTAGAATTTGGGAGCTTCAGGTCAATTTCCATTTATAAATTTTTCTGCATGACATTTTTTCAGATGTTGAGTAATAATTTTTAAAAAGTTTCATCAGGAAATTTAAAGAGATAAATCAGCAAATGCCCCAATTACTAATGCTAGCACTGCCTCAATATCTTCAACAAATATATAAATAAAATGAGGGATGATTGTCAATGAGACAACTCTCCACCAAAGACCAAATGATGAAGAAATTAACAACTATAGGTCACCGTACTGCCTTCACCAATGAGCAAAACCCATACCAAATACAGTAGTAGGTTATAAAAGACCTCCAAATGACAAATGTAAAACATTTCAAAGAAGAAAACAAACAGCCTGATTTATGTACAAAACAATAAACGAAGAACAAATATGATATACAGCATCAAACAACAGAATACTTTCCAAATAACTTTTTGATAAGAAATTGCATAACCATCAATTATAGCTATTTTGTGTATTTTTTCTTTGATCTTTTTTTGTGACAATTTTTCATATCATGCTTCTCACTTGAAATAGAAAATTATCGCTAGAAACTAAGGGGGCACATGCCATCAATTATAGCTATTTTGTGTATTTTTTCTTTGATCTTTTTTTGTGACAATTTTTCATATCATGCTTCTCGCTTGAAATAGAAAATTATCGCTAGAAACTAAGGGGGCACATGCCGTTGACAATGGAAACATCAACAACGTTATAGGCAAAATAGCGATAAACAGATTATTAATGGTCTTTCAAACTCGAGGATGTTTCTCTGCCATATCTCAGGGATGTCGCCCTTCAATGAGATTGTAGCTGAGAAACACCCTCTCATTTGAAAAACCATCAATTAATCTATAATCGTGTACTCATGTAGATATCTAATAAAATCTCACCTATTACAACCAGCTGAGATGTCTCCAAACTCATGAAGATAAACTCCATACTTTCCTGGTAATAAACCATCTAATGTGCCATCTACTACACAGGTGGAATCATCTACCTGTACAAATCTTACTACTCCTTTTAGTCTACTATTTAATCCTACATCCATCAGAGCTACTGCTGCACCGAGATTGGGTTTACCTGTAATGCAATCAAGAAGCTGCAGGTGCAAGTATATCCAAAATTCTATAGCTTTTTTACATTGACAAAAAAAATTCTTTGCTCAGTGGGTATAAAACAAATTCAAAGAATCGTCATACAGAAAGTGACTGTCCAGTAGATTTGAAAATTGCTTACTTGATACCAAGCATCATCGTAAATTTGAGTATTTTTGTAATAGAGTTTATTAACTTTGTCCCTCTATTCTATTCATAAATAAAGTACCATAAATCTTTAAAAATAAAATGCTCCGCTGGGGCGCAGCTTGATACGACCGCAGAGGTCGAACCCTGAACAGTTGGGGCAAGTATGGACACAACATTCAAGCTTGATACAGCACTGAATTTGGATTGTAATTGAATATTTGACACAGCATAGGTTTCTCACACAGAATGAAAGTGGTCTAAGAACTTAAAAATTTTTAATTTACCTATTCAAACCATATCATTATTATTTGCTTTATATATAAATCAGAAATAACCAATTTAAAATGGAAAATTTTAAAGAAAAAAAAGGAAAAAAAAATCCCCCCCCAATTTTTTGAACCCCCTTATGATTCATCACCCCCAAACTCAATCCCAGCTTTCCCTTTGTGGTATGTTACCTTGCAGTACAATTTCAGAGAGATCCATACACTTGAACACAAGGTATTGTCTGGAAACTAGAAAAATGCTTGTTTTTTGGCCCCAAATTCCTAAACGTTTAGGGCAATTACCCCCAAACTCAAACCCAGTTTTCCCTTTGTAATATGGAACCTTGCAGTACAATTTCATAAAGATCCATACACTTACACACAAGTTATTGTCCTGAAACTATAAAAATGCTTGTTTTTTTGCCCTTTTATGGCCCCTATTTACTAAAATTTTGAGGGAATTACCCCAAAATCAATCCCAGCCTTCCCTTTGTGGTATGGTACCTTGCAGTACAATTTCAGAGAGATCCATACATTTGACCACAAGTTATTGTCTGGAAACTAAGAAAAATGCTTATTTTTGGCCCCTTTTTGGCCCCTTATTCCTAAACGTTTTGGGCAATTACCCCCAAACTCAATTCCAGCTTTCCCTTTGTGATATGGAATCTTGTAGTACAATTTCATAAAGATCCATACACTTACACACAAGTTATTGTCATGAAACTAGAAAAATGCTTGTTTTTTGCCCCTTTTTGGCCCCTAATTCCTAAAATTTGGAGGCAATTACCACCAAAATCAATCCCAGCATTCCCTTTGTGATATGGAACCTTGTGATACAATGTCAGAGAGATCCATACACTTACACACAAGTTATTGTCATGAAACTAGAAAAATGCTTGTTTTTTGCCCCTTTTTGGCCCCTAATTCCTAAAATTTGGAGGCAATTACCCCCAAAATCAATCCAAGCATTCCCTTTGTGATATGGAACCTTGTGGTACAATGTCAGAGAGATCCATACACTTACACACAAGTTATGTCTGGAAGTTACAAAAATGCTTATTTTTGGCCCCTAATTCCGTAACTGTGGGTACCATAACCCCCAAAATCAATCCCCTTCTTCCTTTTGTGGTAATGAACCTTATGGTAAAATTTCATTAAGATCCATTCACTTAAAATTAAGTTAGAGTGTGAAAACTAATGTGTCTTCGGACGACGACAACGACGGCGACGATGATGACGAAGACGACGCCAACGTCATACCAATATACGACCACAAAATTTTTTTTGCGTTCGTATAAAAATGAAAGATAGATAATTCTGCCAGAAATTTTAACCCTGTTTATCAGTTGAGTATGTAGCTAAGTGCTTACACTTAATATTGTTAAAATTCCATGAAAATTGGTAACAAGAAATTTGTTATATGAAGACAGACAGACAATCTTGTACAATTAGATATAGTCATAAAACTTTGGAACAACAAATCAGAAAATCATCAAAAATAAAAAGGGTATGATACCTTTATGGGTTGAAACAACTATGATCAACTATGTGAAAACTTAACATTTGGGGGAAGATCTTATGGAGTTACCATTAACATATGTACAACCTCCCTCTTCAGTCAGGATTCTTCATCGTCAAAACTATCTCCCTATTACGCCACCTAATTTGTTTCAATCACTAAAATTGAAGCCCTTATAGGGATGATGCGTTGTTAATTTAGCTCTTGAAAACCAATAAATTTATAAACATAGCATTATTACCATTCTTACATGACAGTTGTATTTTAAAAGACAAATGCATCTACTAGCTATTAAGCATCATGTAATGTACTTTTATGCCTTTTGTCAACTTAAAACTATCGTCTGATCGGTTGTCAGGGTGAATTTTCGAAAGTTCAAAAAACATTCAAAATTCTAATTAAATATTTTAAGGAAGGGCAGACTAAAAATTTTCGGAGGTTAAAGACAGATAACCCTAGATAATACACAAAAAAAATATAGAATTTTTTGAAGATATGCATTTTTAAGATCCACTTGTAAAGTGTGTTGTCAAGGGCTTTTCTTTATTTTGTATTAAATTTGTTATTCCAACAAACCTACTCTGTTGTTGTGACTCATTAGAAAGGTATTTCGCTTGACCCATATATTTTATTTTTTTTGTTATTTTGAATTTTTAATGTCATTATATCAAAATGTAGCATAAAAATGATAGAATCAAAAGGGAAACGGTGTATCAAATATTGTTGCTTTCTACGTTTTCAAGACAAAACAGTCAACTCAAACACGCCTGAACATATAAAGGTGTACCTGACTTTCTCTTTTTGATGAGATTATTGCCTATTTTTAGGATTTTTTCCCAAAAACTGTTGTCGACGGCAGAGATTCAAATTAATGCTTTAAAACAATCTTTAATCTTTTTCTGGAATTTATGCTTATGCACAAAAAGATCCACAAATATTTGCACCTACCATAATCAACTGTTTAGTAAAAATTTGTCTTTTATTTAAAAGTTGACAAATATCTCAAAGCTCTGGAGGACATACTATAAATTAAGTATAAAATTGTATATAAGATGCAAAAAATCATAAATTAAGCACCTACATTAAAATTTTAAAGCCCATAGAAACAGATGTAAACAATTCAAATATACCAACTTGGCCATTTTTACCTTCTCTAATAGAGAGTACCATTTCTTTTGTTTAAATTCATCTAGAAATCAGACTGTAATCAGACTGTCTTTTCCTATGAATGTTAGCTTAGCTTTCTCTATTTTATGGTAGTGAGTGTTAACAACACTCAGCTCATCAACAAAAAGTCACATTATTCTGACTCCGAGCGGAGTTGATCAACAAGTGTAATTTGAGGGGTTTGATTTGTCTGTTTATTTCCTTATATATGGTAATATCTTTTAGTTTGCATTACAGTTGTATTGTGATTAGCTACTTCTTTTTTTAAATACTAGTTAAATTATATTTTGTTTTAAATGTTAAGCATGCAATTTAATGCAATATTAGCTACCAAACTTTTTAATTTCAAAATATTGAAAATGTTTACAATGATCAATTCAAGGGAGACAATCCAATTTCAACTATCAATAACTTTGTACATAATTACTATTACAACCAAAACCGTGCATGTAGTTACAAATTCTTTGTAACTTGCAATTGGCAATTCAAATTAAATAAAGCTAGAGCTATCAGGAATCAATTCCAATATGGCTTTGGTGAAACAACTTTCTCACAGTAACTACACATTAGATGATCTCAGATTAACCTGGTTCCAACAGTTCAATTTTGTTTTTAACAACTGATGTTTTCTAAACAGATCTTAGAATGTACCACTTGCAAGAAAATAGGGGACTTAATGTATGGTCCGGGGACACAGTTATCGTCCTTTGATTTTCATTGTCTACATATAGAGTCCTAACTGTGGACAGTGTATAACTTACAAATTTTTTTCGTACACCTTCAAAATTTATTTCCTTATATTTTATGAATAAAATAGTCAGTAGGGAATGAAATTACTTTAACAAAAATTGGGACATGAATTTTTAGGTAAAGTAGTGATTTGGTCCAGTTTGAAAAGGTTGAAAATTAGTATGTCTGAAGCTGTCAAACTGAATTACAGACCCCCTTAACATAAAATTGTCCATATTTTGAGTTAGACCTGATAGACTTTTCTATAATTTTGATATAATTTGTCCCAAAAGTAGTACACTACACTGTAAAAATCTTTTTTGGATAGAGCAGGTATGATTTTTTTAATTTCCGATTTTTGTCTAAAAGAAATGCACTACGAAATAACTGTGTTCTCGGGCCGTATGGTTTGGGTAATAATTGAATTTGAAAATGTGTCCAAAACATATATTAGAAAGTGAAGGACCAGTGGCTATCATATCTATATAAACAAGGAGTATAATACTTTATTCATATATATAATTATGCTTATTTTGGGGAATGCATTGCACCTTGTTAATCATCATTAATATTTCATTGAATTTCACCATTTTTAAATATGATGATTTTAACATTTATAAAATCCTACAAAATATTTTGGTACAATTACTTGAAGATTAACAATATTTATATGGTTAAGAATTTATAAAAACATATTTTTTTAGAGTTCTATTTTTTAAGCCTTTGTACAGGCCACGACTGTGAAAAAAAGCATAAATGTCTATTTATATTATCAAATCATTCCTCAATACAAAAGCTTATAGAAGTATGGGACAAAATCCTATTCTTTGGAAAGTTGTTATTTGATAAAATATACCACCCACTCTGTGAGTGAATATCAAAAATGGGAAAAATAACAGAAATTGTACTTCCTACTAAGATTCAAAGTAAAAAAACAAAAATGAGTTGACCTTGAAAATTCAATAACATCTTTGGCATGCTATTAACCTACAGACCTGTCTACTTTCCGTGCAGTCTATGGGAGATATTCCACATGAGAGGTGTTGACATGACCCTTATAAAACTCAATTATTTAGACTTAATATTTTAAATAAATGGGGAATGTGTTCATGGGACACAGCAGATGCCCCTGCTTGCAAATCATATAAAGTTATAAAGGGACATAACTGAAGAACGGTAAAAGTGACGCTATACAAATTTGTACTTGATCTGAGTTTTGTGGTAATAAGTATTGTGTATAAGTTTAATTGTATTCAAATCATTGTTATCATTGTAAACATTTGAACCAAATTTAACTTGATTATTCTGCCTGTAATGGGCATCTTTAATTGACAATAAAATATATTTGAATAACATTTGGTTGAGGCAAACTTTAGTTAGAGAACGGATACGAAACATTCAGCAATTTTTCCATTTGTAAAGGGCAAATTACTCTGAAACAGTAAAAGTGACGCCACCAAAATTCAATATTGATCTGTATTTTGTGGTAATAAGTATTGTGTATAAGTTTCATAACATTTGGTTAAGGTAAACTTAAATTGGAGAAGGGCGGGGGCATAAAAAGGCATTCAAAGGAGTAAAAAATATGCATGTGCTTACAAATAATTTTATAAATTTTACTATAATCGGTCAGTTTATGGAGGTTGTAGCACCCCTGCTTACAATTCTGGTAAAGATATGCATTGGGTCCTGTTCTGCTTAAAATCCCTCGTGGATATTTTGAAAAGTTGGCACACTATTAACTTACCAGTTAACCCTCCATAGCCCATCAACACACCCCTCTGTCCTGATGTTTCTATGATATTATTGACTTGTGTGGAACTGAGGTTTGACTGTACAACCAATGAGTTTGATCCCGACTCTATAGAAACTGACTTGATACCTGTTTTAGAACAGAAGAAAGCAGTTTAAACCTGTTAAATCATTTCACTTATTTATTTCAATTCTATCATGTACTTTAATTTGTGAGTGTTTCAGTTGTAGATAATCGGGAGACAAATCACAGGGGGTTCTCAACCTACAAGAAGGTTATATAGATGAGGAGCATCCTTGGTATGGGTCACTTTTTTAGTATGTCAAATATATCAATGAGGTGCAATTTCACGGAAGTAATATATCAATGGGTAGTCATTCATATTTACCAGTTAATGGGTAATAAATTATGTAAATTCTAATCTTCAGATAAGATGTCTGTAAGAATCTTTATGTGCTGAAACTTTTATTGACACAAATAGAATAATCCTTTCACATCTAATTAAGATTGTATGTCTGATAACTGAGAAATATATAAAAGAGTTATGATTCTGCAATGAAGCATATGTATGGGTCAGCATTTTAGCTAAACAACAATATAGACATGAGGGTGGGGGGGGGTTTGGGTTGTTTAAACCCCTGCCAGTACGCCTATACCTATAATTTGTCTGTTGAAGTCCCTCATCAGACATATCTTATATTTACCGGACATAAAAAGATTCACAACAGATATCTTTAAAACATAATATTCAGTTGCTGTCAGCTATTGACTTTTTATCAACCAGTTTTTTAAGAGATTTGGTAAAAATTATACAGATGGTGATCCAAATATTGTGATGATATGAATGGGTGCCATAAAATTACCAACCATCTTCTCCATCTAAGGCTTTCTTTGCCTTGTGAGGACAGCCCTCTACAGCAAACTCCATCTAAAAAATAACACTATATGTCATTGAAGTTTATATACTATAAAACTGATCTTTTTAGTTATCACTTGTGGTGGTGATTTTTCCTGATGAATACTGGTGATTGTGGGTGAATCACTCTGATATATCACTTGGTATTATACAAGTGTCAATCATCAGCAATCAGACTTTTTCACAGTAATTCACTTAATACCAGCAAGTGATTTTTAGTTGAATCACCTTGTGTGGTTTTTTATAAATGCGGTATTAGGCCATATAGTCTTAATCCGAGGCATTTTGTAAGACCTTTTTTACAACAGTTCATCCATTAAAATATTGGTTACCAGTATTTTGCTTGCTTATTTTGTTAGGAAGTTTTCTCATACAAAAATCTGAGGGATGACTTCAGTTATACACTTTAACAAATCAAATATCTGTATATACATATATTCTTATCTCTTAACAGAATGACTTTTGACCATGGCAATGTCTGTAATTGATTTTCATTGTAATGCTTGACTTCCTTGACAAGTCTCCTAAGAAACATGTGTTCAACATCCTTTTGTAGAATAGCTCTATTATCCAGGCAATTAAAGCCTTTATGCTTAGAATTAAAACTTAATGCCGGATTTGACATATTCCCTTTCGTAAATCACAATGTTGTCTAAGAAATATTGTCATATTGTTGAATGCTAAAATAAATTGGTTAACCCTGTCAAAATCTTAATGTGTCTGTCCCAATCCAGAGACCAAGGTAAAGACATTGGCCTTGGTTGTCCTTGTGTGCTCTCTTGTTATATTTGTTTTTCATATGTTTTTCTTTCTTTGTTGTAAAAATGTAGTTTAAACCAGGCAGTTGGTTTTCTCTTTTGAATTATTTCACATTTTGTCATACTAGAGCCTTACTATGTGGTCTGCAATTTGCTTATTGTTGAAGGCTGTATGGTGTATCCATGTACCAGCCGCATGTCTGTGTATAATAGTCCAAATAATTATGACGTCTTGAAAGACGATTTTCATTTTTTGTTGTGACACCTTCCTACTATATTGAATGCAACTATTATAATAACATACCTTACACTTGTCATAGCCACAATCCTGTACTCTTTTCCTCATTTTTGATATTACTGATTACAACTATATGTATAACCACTGAATTTTACTTTTATTGAGAAACATGATGTGTGCTAGTCCAAATAATTATGAATTTTTGTACGGCTTTTTGATATTTTTTTGCTGGACATCTTCCTGGAAGATGTAACAGCAAAAATGCTTTTCTAGACGTCATAATAGGCTATTTCTCGAATCATGTCATTCACCGGAAAAGATCGTCAATTACGCGGGCCCTTGTGACATTATTTACCAGATAGAATGCGCGCCTGTATCCCTGCTCTATTAAAGTCTGAAGCATTTTCAGGACCATCATTCTGCAGGGTAGTGAAGAAATAATCTATGTTCCGTAAGTTCGTAATCTAAATGGCCGTACGACTAAAGGGAGGGTGACCATCTAATTAGATTTTAATTTCGCAAATATTTAATGCAGTATAGCATCAAACTTTTTCACACGTTCCCTCACCATGTGTAGAAAGTGATAATGGCTACATTTTTGTCACATGGTGATGGAAGTCACATGACAGATTTAACTAACTACCTTATCTCTGAACTGGCGTATTATTTGGACTAGGTGTGTGCCACTAAGTGGAACAGGAGCTGCTTTATAATCCTTCACAGGCTTCAGCAGCACCTTAGTTGACCTTTCGGTTTTTGGAGGGGGTTTGTCTTGCTCCATATTAAGTTTGCTGTGTAGTGTTTTTTTTTTTGGCAATAACTGTTGTCCTTTTCTCAGGCTTATGATATTTGTTTTATTGTTCCCATCAGCTCATTTTTTCCTTCCCCCTTTTTTCTACATTAATTTATAGTAAATACTAGCAAAAACAACTATTTTTTAAGTTTTCTATTCAATTCTTCTTTTAGTCAACATATATATTCTTACAGTGCAGGTTACTGACATAATTGATAATTTAAAATTGTTTTTTTATGTCACTTATAAGTCCTTTTTCTGAGTTGTCTGCCACTTGTTGATCTTTTTCGGAAGTTTTCTAGACTTTTCACTGTTTTTTAGGAAGTGTCACGTGGTGTTTTTACACCCGCTTTAAATTTTGAAATGTTTGTGATGTTTTGTTTGCAATGTTGGTGAACTTTTTATAGCTTTAAAGTGTATTTGGGTAAAATATGAATGCTTTTTATTATGTAGTTAATGATTATGCCCATAACATAAAGCAAACGAGTGTTCGTCGGCAAACCTTTCATGCATTGATTTTTGAAGTTGAATAATTTTTCATGGACGTCAGCAAACACAATCCTAAAATAATAATATATTCATCACACAATGATCCCAACGGACCAAGATCTAAATAAGTAAAACTAATTATTTTTTTCAGATTCAATATATGTTCTTTATGTAGGTGAGGTGATTATTGATGGGATCTGATGACCCATCCCCCCTTTTTTACTGACATGCATTTAGATTTCGCCTTGCATCCTTATTGCATTTTGCAGAAATGTCAATGGTAGGCTCTGCTTGAAAAGTGATCATTAAACTTGTGGGCATATCTGTAGACCATGCACCGTAAACACAGGTTGACATTTCATTGTAAATCAAGACCAGGTCTGATGACGTGCAGCATTTTCAAGTTTTCCACATAAAAACAACTATCCATACATTTTTAAAAGTCATAATGTCACAGACTGAATGTGATTGTTATGTAACAGTCGCAAAATAAAAGTCAGTCACATTATTGTAAACTTTTGAAACTTTTTTAAATTGAAATGCAGTACATTTCTGTGTCCAGTGACCTTAGAAAAAAGGTTCAAGACTTGTATGTCAATCATTAGGCCAAAAATAAAATTTGAATTGTTTGATTTTGCCTACCTACCCAGCTAAAGAGCAGCCTATCAAAAAAAATTTATGACACAATATAGTTTCAATTTTTTCCTGCTCTTACATTTTCTTGTCTAAAACATGTAACTTTTGTTCAACTTCCGTTGTTGGCCAAACAAACAAAAAAATACCTACCTACCTACCCGTCCTAACCCTACAAAGCATGGGTAGGAAACACCAAACAAAGAAATTATTAAGGGTGGCCTTAAAAACATTGAAGTAAAGTTTCCACAAAGTAATAAAAGGGTAACTACAAATTGTACCATTTAAATACTATATTAAATTAGACAGCAACCTAACAACAAAAATAACCAATAGACATCTAGTGGGCAACAAACAGTGATCAGCAATATACAGATGTCTATACAATATGTCAAGCTCTTAATTGTCTAGTTTACATAAGTTAGTGAATCAATTTAGGACCATTTCAATTTAAAAGAATAATAACTTACAATGTAATGTCGCAAATAACTGATTTGATGTCAGGAATTGATATTTGAAGACATTCTGTGTAAATTTTTGCAGAACTTAAAAGATAAATACCCATTACAGTGTTACACTCATATTATAAAAATGTAATGGTTAAAGGGCTACAAATGTCAGATGTTGAAGCAAAATTGGTCTTGTAGACTTTTAGTAAATCAAATGTCAAGACACCTGAGCAATATTGATTTTGATGCCTTACCATTGTTTTTATTATTATACATGTAAATAGCTTTAGATGCTAGAAAATTAGTGAATACATCATGTATGATTTCAGTTGTAAAATGCATGTAGTTTGTTAATCCATTTATATTAGTTTGATAAGGTTAGATAATTTCAGTGAATCACTTTTAAGTTTAATACATGTGTGTGTACATTTGTGTACTTTCAATTTACAGAAAAATCATGCCTGCCAAGAAGAAAGGAAAAGCTGAGCTGAGTATATCACAGCTGATATGTAAGTTTTATTTCTGTTGACAATTTGCCTTTTCAGGATCTAAATCCTTTCTCTGTAAAATTTTCAGGGATGAAAACCAATTTGGATATTCAATGCATAATTTCATTTTCATTTTGAAGTACAAACAAAAATTAAATTATCCAAAGCCCTTTAGACTCTGAAAAGGTGAATTTAAATTTGTAGATATTTAATTTTTATATTTGATTTGTATAGCTAATTTGTATGGCTTATTTGTATAGCTAATTTGTTTAGCTAATTTATTTTTCTTGATATCTCATCCAAGATACAGTCATGCATGCATGTATTGAACTACAATCATTGAACTTTCATGCTTCATTGTTGATTGCTAATTGTATTGTCAGAAGTTAAGTTCATAAGACTAAGTTTAGTACAGTCTTACATATTAATAATGTGTTACTATTTGAAGGAGATACAGAGCCTGTCTGAGGCAGTTTGTTTTATCTGTAAAAACCAGACATTCAACAAAGTATTAATATATATACAATAATGTATCATTGTATGTAATCATAGAATAACAATTCTAATTCAATTCATTTTGAACATTAATTTTCATTAGACATTGACAAATATTTTGAAGCGTTAGATTCCATGTTCTACCAGTCCGTATACGTAATTAAGGAAAGCCACCATTTCAACTTTTTAAACAAAAAAGTCATTTGTGCCTCAAAATCTTCTTCTTGTCAAAATTTAAACCATTCAGAAACGTACGAAAGGTATGAATATGTCTAGTGTTTATGTTTGACAGTATACCTATATGACGTCACATTGTTTAGATGCCAAAGACGATGTAAAAGCTCTGCTGACTTTTTCATTTATGGCATTTTTAAGCCAAAATATTTACTAAAAAAGAAGTTATTTTTAAAATGTGGCATTAGAAAGGAGATAACTGTATTGTATTTTAAGCTTAGACCTTCGTAAAACTTGATTTTACTGTCACGAATATCCGTTTATCTAGCTCTGCTAAGTGTCGCTATTTAGACTCAATTTGCGACAGTAAAATCTACATTTTACGAAGGCCAAGCTTAAAGTACAATACAGTTATCTCCTAAACAGTTATAAGAAGTACATATTTTCTGTAACATGGCAAATATTTTACAGCTCCAAAAGTCAACACTGAAAGTAAGTTGCTTTTTGTTTGTTTGTTTTTTTTGCAGTTAGATAATTGTTTGTTAAATTTTCATGTGCATGTACATGTATGAAATTTGACATGGATCATTTCAGTATCAATTTACTACTGTTTAACTCATGAAACCACAAAACAGAAAAATCTAAGTAAATTTAAAAAATATAATAATAAAGTACAGAATTTTTTTTACTTTCAATATTTTTCACAATTTTCTGCTGGACATGAAATTCAAAAATTAAAAAATGTCAATGCTGTAGTTCAGGCTCATAAGAAAAATGAAATGCATTAAATATTTGGAAAATTTTGGAAAACTTAAACATTTCATGAACTCTACCGTCAAATCAGCTTTTGAATATTATTATGATTATATACCTGTACTTTTATCATGTTGGTATATAACACCACACAAATTGATTCAATTGAAGTGCTCTTCTAAACAAGTCAAACCAAATATTACGGATAGGCTGATTTGACGAGGGAAGTATGATTGAGTTCACTGTAACCAAGAAGATGAATTTATAATTTACAAATTTGAAAATGTTTTGCTTGGTTTGATAGATTTGAAAAAGACAGATAGATTTAGTCAATATTGAAAGGATAAAAAAAAATTTGCCAGGTCCAACATTTGCTTAAGATTTTGTAAAATTATTTTAACCATTGCAAAAAATAACATCAAAAGTTTCTGACGTTTTGTTGGGGAAAAATGGCAACAATTAAGATTATATATTTATTTCTGGGTGAAATATAAAGATCCATTAAACATCAATAAGGTCATGACCCATGACGTGAACTATGAACTCCACGAAGAATACATACATGTGCATGCAGATTGTTATTCTAACTGCTCATTTTGTAGGTTTCAACTTTTGTGATGTTCTGATGATCATCATCCATTATAATCCAAAATCTGCTTGCTGCAGAAATCCAACTAGATGTAGATAGATGTACATTTAATTGATTGTAATCAGTTATAAATAAATACTTTGAAAGGCTTGAAACCAACTTTAAACTGTTGCAGTTAACATGTAAAATTGCTGCACTTTATGCTCTAAATATAATATAGAGTATATTCAGTGAACTTTTGTAATGTTCTAGAATATATTGAGAATGTCAATCATGTTACTGTTTACTCTTTTAAAACACAACCGATTACACAATTTATAGTTGATTGGTTTTGGCTTAACCAATTTTCACCTAACTTGTGTTGCAATTTTTACAAACTGAAAAACTATTTAACTTTGATTTTAATTGTAAAATATTAACATGATTAAGTGTAGATCGTAGAGATAAGAAACCAACAGTGACCTGTAAATTCTTAAGAGCTTAGATCAGGAAGTTTAATGTGGTGACAGGTCCTGTATGGAATGAGGTTGGAAGACCCAGATCATTTCTTTTGACCAATCAAGATTTCTGCTAAACCTAAAAATGACCATGCGGGAAAACAATTTTCATTAGATAATTTACTGTTTATACCAATTAAAAACATCTTTTGTAAAATTGTTATTCAATCATGTTAATGGCCACTGGACTTTATAGAAATATATTTGATGATCCCCAATGATGTTTGGTATGGATTTTTCCTGAAAACTTAAATATTTAAGCTTGGAGATTATGCAATGAGAAAGTAATGCCGAAAGTTCAGTGTTCTCTGGTGGTTAAAATCTCATAGATCAGCTGGAAAATGCTTCTAGTACTTAAAGAGGTGATTTCTTAGCAGAAAATTACCATATAATACTCAGACAAGTGATTTTTACCTAAAAATCCAGATAACAATAAATGTTTTTCATGTTTAACAATATAAGAGTAAATTTACTCAGTTGGTATGTTTATCTCTGTTATATCCTTCAAAACAGCACAGTTATATTATATACTTTCAATCTTGGAGAAAAGGGAACAAAACATAAAATCACTTATTACAATAAATGTTCTACTCATTTTAGTGATTTCAGACCTCAAATAAAGGTAGATAACTCCATTTTGTAATAATTCTAGACAAAAGTTAACTTTTTCAAGTGATTTCAAAATCACTTATTCAAGTAATTCCCCTGATTGTTATCAGGAGAAACTTTGATAAACATGATAAAAACTGTTCTTTTTTTTTGAATAAATGTATGACTACTGCGAATATTTATGTCACATTTTAAAAATAATTGAGTAATTACTAAAATGATAAATAGTACCTCCTTTTCTAGGATTAAAGATTATCTGATTACTTGGAAAATTTTTCATGTGCCTACTAGCATTGACTAGCTCACAAAGCAGCCAATGAGGTAGTGGTATGACAAAAATATTACAATACCCTACATAGGAAGTTCTTGAGAAGGGAATTATGAATTATGAATTCTTCTACGTTTAATGCTCAACAGTAATTATATATATCATTACAACATCTCAACCTGTGGCTTCCGCTTAACATTTGAAGGTTCTTACTATGTATTGGCTACCTAAACTACAAAGAACACACCAAATCTTGTTTTATCTCAGCATCCAGTTAGTGTTCTACTACTAATCTTTCTGTCCAAATAACTAACTAGTTCAATGACAACTATTAAAAACTTGATAAAGATTGTAACAAAGCCTATGTAAATAGTGGAGTTAATTATTTACTGAGTGGAAAAAAACCCACTTTGGATGTTTTTGATAAACAAATGTCTTAAATTGTATTTTCAATTCTGTTTACAATTCTGAATTTTTACTGACTCTTTGCATTACACTTAAACACAATCTTATTTATTAAAATGGTTCGAAAAAATCTAAGGGCAAATATATTTGCTGCAACCATATAATGCATTCTTCAATAATGAAAAAAGACAAACATGGAAGATAATACCTAGAACCTACTGGAACTCGGAATGAGGAAAAAAAAAGGTATGTGATTAAGTATTCCTGACTGACCCTATTGTTTTTGTAAGGATTACTTAAAAAAATTTCACCAATATTTCAATTGTTGTAACCGCTGACTCACTTCTTCCAAATATGTTACAGAATTGAGAAAAAATAAAAAATATATAGTACTTCAACTGTTCAGTTTTATATCCTAGGCTTTCGAATATTCAGAGTGTTACTGATGAAGTTCATCAGATCATGAAGGTAAATCCTGAAAAATGCTTCGGATGCATAAAATTTATAAAGTGTTGTTTTCATTTTTCTGAACATAGATACTTTGTCCGTTAAGAAATTGCAAGTAGCTAAAAAACAGTATGTATAATAGCAGAATATATCCTTTATTGATAGGAATCACAGTTTATGGCCAAACCCAATTTAGATCAGTCAGAATTTCATGTACAGTGAAAGAAAAATTTGATAAAACTTAAAAGTTACCTTGATAAAATTTTGTTCTAAATACATGAAATAATCAAGAATTTCCTAACCATACTGTCATGACTGGAAATTTACTCCATGGAACTGACCTTAAATTAATTTTAAATGACTGTTTGAAAGGAAATAATTGTCTCTTTCTTGATTTGGATATTTCTGTTTCACAATGGAAACTACTAAAATAACGACAAAAGAGGCCATTTTTTGTTTCCTATTGTGTTTTCCTATCTTTGGACAGTGATGATCTTTTTCAATGTGCAAAATCAATCTATTAATGATGAATTATTACGTCAGGGATTTCGTTACCATTAATTACTTAAAACCTTCAAGACTTTCATTAAATCAAACTTATGGTGTGGTTTATACATTGGTTGTACTTATTACACATCCTAGTTTTTACAGTGATGTAAATAGAGCTTGTAAACAAAGGTGCAATTGAACATTTGGAAATAAAAATGATAAAATTAATGATGTTAAGATAAAGACAATTTTCAATTGATCACTTAAAAAATAAGTTTATTCCTATTCAGTTATTAACACTTATTATATGGTCCTTCATCGTGTCAATAATTTTTTGCAATGCACATCAAGCTTTTCCAAGACTGTTCATAATGTTATTACACTACATTGGTTTGAGATAGATAATTAATTCCGGGGAATGAAAAGGTCTATTTTTGTTGAAATAAGGCTTTGAACTTGCTTTCAGAAATTGTTTGTACTATTTAATCGGCACTTTGAGGCTTGTTTTTTTTAATACTTATAAATAGTGCCTTTAGGTTTATCAATTTTTTTTTCTCTCTCTGGCTTTTTTAATATCTACTTCTTCCAAAATATAAAAAAAAAGAAGATGTGATATTTATAGCTAGCAATTTCTAGGAATGATGTTTAATTGACAGGGTTTACAAAGTTCTATAAATGTTGTTTAATTGACAGAGGTCATGATCACACAAAGGAAAGTAGTTGCATTGTTTCAATAAGTGGGACTTGGAATTCAAATAAAATTTCCGCATCTATTTTGAAATAAGTACCCTCTGTATCAGTATACAAAATCTTAAGAGACACAAGTGTCATTGAGGCCCTGCATAGGGGTAACAGAGTAATAGTTACAATATATATATATATATATGATCATGTATATGCACTAATAATATAATAGTTTAATATGTAGGAGGTCTGTAGTGTATCAAATGATAAAGTTTCTGGGAATTTGGAAAAATTGGAAAAAACACTTCTTATCTGATAAAAAAAACAGAAAATGTTTCCCGTTGAACAAATGAGAACAAACAAATTGAAATAATATATATATATATACATATGCCACTTAAGGGTACCTGTTTTAAACATGTCTTGGTATGAGGCTGAGCAGGGTTTGATAAACTAAAACAGGGATCACCACAGGCTATTTAAGGGTGGAGCTCCTCCACCCTTAAATTTTCAGCTCCACCCTTAAATCTCCAGCACCACTCTTGAATTTCTCAGCACCACCCTTGAATTTTTGAAAAATGTGATGAACAGGTAAAATTTTTGACAATTTTTACTTCAAAGTATAAATTCATGCCTTAATTACATTTTTATTTACAATGGCTTTGTTTATCTTTTTCCTAATTAACAGATAATGATCTACAATAAAGATCTTGTGTGATTGTAATTTCAATATAAATTTTTTTTCGTGAAC